CTGAAGTCGGTTGCTCAACCGACTGAGCCACCCAGGCGCCCCTAAGTGACTTTTCCTTTCTGATGTGCCCACAGGAGAGTATTGATCAGGCATTTTCCTAACAGAGTGAAACTGCCTCTTAGGTTTGCTTATTTGTTGGCTGAAAGTAGTTTCTACTGTGCTGAATCCTGCCTGGGGGGAGTAACTGGAAGGAGTGCTCAGGGGTCTGTCGCTGTGGTCTCGGGCTCTGATCGCCCAGCCTTTGTCCCTGAAGTGCGCCCATGACAACCTGATTTTCACCACATCTAACATGTAATTGCTTTCATCTCTGAAGGAGGGCCAGGGCCCAGAGCTTCTGGGGGTGACCTTCACAGCCGCTGAGGCATATGTGAGAGGTGCTCTGCACTGCCTGTGACAGGGGGTAAGTGACTTGATCCAGCCTTGAGCCGTGTCTAGCAGTGCCCTCTCAGAGGCTGGTATAAAGAAGGCTTTTTACCAGATGAACAGAGAACACAAAACTAGGAGAAACAGTATATGCTAGACAGCAGTATGGAGATTTGGAAAGATCTGGACAGGCTGAAACAAGCCAAATGGAAATGACAAGGCGCGTACAGGTCTATATTTAGGTTTGCCCATCAGGGGGTGTGGAAAGACTCTGCTTTGGATGCGAAGTCTGCACTGGAGGGACCTCACATAGGATCCCGAAACTGCCTGCGGTGCCCCGTGGCCCACGGTCACAGCCAGCTATCTGGCCTTGACCCAGAGCTGAGTTGTCTGTAAGCGTCCAGATTTGTCTTCCGCTGGTGAGGGTCAGGCTGCCCGTCCCTAGTCCCAGGGGGACGTCGGATCAGCTCAGCCACTTGAAGTGGGTCTTTGTGAAGTGTTTCTTATACGAACGAGAGGAGGATTTACTGGCAGTAAACACCTACAGAGTCCTGGAGGACCAGGGTCAGAATGGGCCAGAACCTCTGGGGCCCTCTGTGTCATCCGTACACTAAATTTCAGAGTCACTGCTGTTCTTGGGGCTGCTGGCTTTGGGAAGGGCCGTGGGGGCTTTGTGTAGCTTGTCCTCTGTTGACGGCCGGAGGAGTTTTGTGCTCCATCATCCAAGGCGAAGGCGACCCTATCTATCTATCTTTTGTCCCGCAGGGCAGGGCTGACTCCTTCTAAACTTTGCAAAGGGCAGAGTGTTTGGCACTGTTGGTCTCAGGTCTGTCGGTTTCCATCAAAGAAGCTTCCTCCTGCAATCGCCGTGATTAACCAAGAGCACGTGTCACTCTGCTGACCTTGGGCCTCTGTGTTGATAAGAATCCGGGCTGAAACCATTCTTTCTTCCTTGGGGCTCCTTAGGGAACTTGGATCTGTCCACTGCCTCAGGCTATCTCCCGGGCCCAGTACACATCATAGGCTGTCATCTTCTGGAGAGCTGGGTACCCCTTCTTTCCTGTGTCTTTTCTACATTTCACTAGTAATCATTCTCTCAGAAAAACAATAAAATCTTTCCTATCTTACATATTGGGTTCCAGGGAGGATTAACTCCTAAGTGAGATGTGGTGCCCTCAGGAGCTCAGGCTCTCTGCTGAGCGCCAGGCCCAGACTTGAGTCACGAACCTCTCGCGGCGTCTCAGCGCAGAAGCGTGGTGCGTGTGCCCCTCAGCCTAACTATCTCCTCTCTCTCCCCCCCCCACCCCACCCCCACTCCAAGGGTGAGCTTGTCGGCCACAGACTGTTACATCGTGCACGAGATCTACAATGGGGAGAACGCCCAAGACCAGTTTGAGTACGAGCTGGAGCAGGCCCTGGAAGCCCAGTACAAGTACATCGTGATCGAGCCCACGCGCATCGGCGACGAGACTGCCCGCTGGATCACCGTGGGCAACTGCCTGCACAAGACCACCGTGCTGGCCGGCACCGCCTGCCTCTTCACCCCGTTGGCGCTGCCCTTAGATTACTCCCACTACATCTCCCTGCCCGCAGGCGTGCTCAGCCTGGCCTGCTGCACCCTCTACGGCATCTCCTGGCAGTTTGACCCTTGCTGCAAGTACCAAGTGGAGTACGACGCCTATAAACTGTCCCGCCTGCCCCTGCACACACTCACTTCGTCCACCCCGGTGGTGCTGGTCCGGAAGGACGACCTGCACAGAAAGAGACTGCACAACACGATAGCACTCGCCGCCCTGGTGTACTGTGTAAAGAAGATTTACGAACTCTATGCCGTATGATTTCAGTAGAACAGGGAGAGAAGCAATCGGCCCGGCCCACGAGAGACCACAGAGTGTTCAGATTTGCCACAGTAACAGGTTTTTGCTCTGTGAGGCGGCGGCGGAGCCTGGGAAGGTGTTTGGTTTAATATCTGTTATTTTAAAAAAATAACACAGGTCACAGGCGTACCAAGGGTTTTTCAACTCCTTACACTAAGATGTGGATTTCCATAACCCACAGGGGGTCCGAGTGGTGGAAGTCTGGGAAGACCGGGCGGTGCGCGTTGGCGGCACGGCTGCCGAGGGGATGTGAATGCGCTTGCGGGGGGCGGGGGGAGGTCTTTAAGTATATTGTTTAACTGTACCATCCAGAGCCAACCAGAAGCTATTGACCATTAAAATTATGAGAATTTCAACTTCGGGTGTCTTCTCTTTCCATGACTGCCTAGCTGCTGCCCACAGTCTGCTCTGGGTGGTGGCTCGCCCCGGGGCAGCGGTGGGCACCTGGTGTCGCCATCCACAGCAAGGACGGGCCTCGGAACAAGGCAGGCCCAGACCCTTCCCAGAGCGGTTCACCTCTTGACGGTGGCCTCGTTCTCAAGGCCAGCACAGCTGAATGCTGCTCGGGCCACGTGGTAGGATCAGGTGACGAGGTCCAGAGGTCACTGGGTTTCCGTTTGGGTCCACGTGGAGAACTGAGGCCTGGGATCCCCTGTCCAGAACTTTTGATTTTGAAGGACACACAAATGAACATCCGGCACCTGAGCTGTTCCTGAGGTGGACCCTGAGTTCAAGCCCACTGCCCTAGGCTGAGGAAGCACCCTCCCCTCGGCGCCCGTCTCAGTGTTCCCATTCCATAGCGGTCAGGTCCCGTGTCCCCCTCACAGCAAAGGGCAGATTGCACACCATCCTCCATATCCCTGTAAGGTTTCGGATAAATGAAACCGGCCTTTCCACAAAGACACTGGGTTCCCCGCCTTAACCGCAACCTTCCTAAGACCTGCTCAGTCCTCCCTGAAGAGCTACATGGTACTTCTTTCTGAAGGGTCCATCTTCAAGAAGCAACCTAGTTTTAAAGGCTCTACCAGGAAGAGCTGATACCAGAGAATAATGAAGGGGTGCATGCGGAGGTGTCCAGAGCTCAAAGGGAGTGACTGGGCTATTTATTATAAGGGAGATTCAGAGCTTTGAAAAGCTTTCAAAATGGACCGTCCGTCATCCACAAAGAGTTTGAAAAACTGTAACTCCGAGGAGCCTAGAAGTACTAATCACTCATTCGAATGCCGGGTGGCAAAATGGTGTCGGGTACACAGTGTCGTTTACGGGACAGTCTGCCGTCTGGAGCAAAAGGATGAATTGGTAGCGAGCCCAGACAAATAGACCTGGTCTCAATTGTGCAGTGCCTGCGGTCCCTTGGGTGTCTGGCTGCCGGCTCCCGAGCCTGCCGGGCCGGAATGGTAGGTGTTTTTGTAATAAACGGCCCATGTTCGGAAAGGGAGCCCCATGCTCTGCCTGCACATCGGCTTTCCTGGGGCAGGAGGCTAGAAGTGGACAAGTAGGCATCTCGGTGGGTTGAGGGCTGAGCAGAAGCCCTCACCAGGAGAAGAGGCCAAGTGCGAACAAGGTGCCTGAGGCTGCGCTCAACAAACTGATTCTTGTCGGGTGGACTAGCCCAGGTTCTGAGACACCACCTCACTTACAGGTCTCGTGCCAGGGTGAGGGCTCGGCACTGCTGGGGAGTGCGGGGCAGGACTCTCATGTTCCAGGCCTCTACGCGAGCGGCGACCCAAACTGGCTGGGAAGGGGAGCGGCAGGATCACACCTCCCGCAGCTGGAAGGATTCCCTTCTGTGGGCGCCGGCTTCTCTGTTTCCGTCGCCTTCCCACTTCGACATCGCTGACAAGTGGGTTGTGCTCCTCTGTGACGTGCCACGATGCTCTGGAAGAAACAGCAATTTTTAAGTCACTGCCAACTGAGAAACAAAGGCCAAGTCGGCTGGGCCCTTCTCTGCAAAGTCCACACACGAGCCCTGTGCGTGCCATTTCTGTGAATGCATCGTGCAATTAACCTAATTACGTGAGTCTTGTTGGAACTGACTAGTCTCACCCCAGTTTCAGAGGAGAGCAAAGAGCCTTTGTGAAGGTCAACTCATCAAGAATGCGGGGGGAGGAGACCCTGGCAAGCACTCATGGACGGTCTCTCTTCGTTAGTCTATCTGTGCCCTCCAAAGTGTTCACATCTGCTTCAGCAGCTGTCAGGCCCTGCTGAAGGGGAGGGAGACTCCTTCCATGGAGCCTGCGAGGAGCCGGGCAGTGCGCCCAGGCAACTGCGCGCTCACCATTCCATCCAGTCACTCGCGAGCCGTGGCCGCTCAGCAGTGCGCAGATGTGTGGTGCTGCCATCTGGAAACTCACTTGGTTGTACTTTCCATGCTCTGATTTGGGCACAAAACACAGGCGCGCCTGCTTCTGCCCTCGGACCAGTGAAACACCAGGAGACCTGAAGAGCAAAGTGGAAAGTGCCTTTGAACTTCATCTGCAGGCAGAAGCAATCCAGAACTGAGCTTTTCAAGCATACCCAGAATCCCAGGATGCAAGAGAGAGAGGAGAACAAAGCTTTGAGGACAGAAAGGAGAAACTGGAACAGCACCACCACCACCCCAGGCGGCAGATGTTCGTATTCAGACACCGATCTGAAAGCAAGAGTGACATTATCAGGGAAACACAAATCAAAACCACAGTGAGATACCACCTCACACCTGCCAAATGGCCACGATGAACAACTCAGGCAACAACAGATGTTGGTGCAGATAAAGAGGAACCCTTTTGCACTGCTGGTGGGAATGCAAACTGGTGCAGCCACTGTGGAAAACAGTATGGAGGTTCCTCCAAAAACTGAAAATAGAACTACCCTGCGACCCAGCAATTGCACTATTAGGAATTTATCTAAAGGACACAGGAGTGCTGATTCGAAGGGGCACATGCACCCCAATGTTTATAGCAGCACTATTGACAGTAGCCAAAGTATGGAAAGAGCCCAATGTCCATTGCCTGGTGAATGGATAAAGAAGATGTGGTATATACATTCAATGGAATAAATGTATTCCAATCATGATTTCACTCACATGTGGAATTTAAGATAAAAAACAAATGAACATAAGGGGAGGGAAGAAAAAATAATATAAAAACAGAGAGGGAGACAAACCGTAAGAGACTCTTAAATACAGAGAACAAACTGAGGGCTGCTCTCGGGTGTTGGGTGGGGAGATGGGCTAAATGAGCGATGGGTACTAAGGGCACTTGCTGGGAGGAGGACCAGGTGTTATATGTAAGTGATGAGCCACTAGATTCTATTCCTGAAATCATTAGTACACTATGTGTTAAGTAACTAGGATCTACATTTTAAAAACATTTTTAAAAAGAGATGCCAAGTTGGGGTCCTGGTCCCCAGGAAAGGGGCTGCGGCTGCCATTCCAGTGGAGACAGCAAGCCCCGCCTTTACCAGGCAGTGCTGTCTCCGGGGAGCCGCGCCCAACTCCAGAGGCCCCCCAACATGGCTTGACGTGCCACACAGACTTTTGAAGAACCCTGAATCGCTTGCCCTTTTAGTCCTCTGCGTAGTTTCTAAGGCCGGAGAGAGCATGTGCTGCGGTGCGAGCGCGTCTTCAGTACCTCTCTGACCTTGCCAACCTCCTCAAGGGCAGCTGGGCCTCAGCCTTTGGCAGACAGCCAGATCCAGCTAAATTTAACGGCTGTTTGTGTTATATTATTCACTATTCATACGGTAGAATATAAGATTTCTAAGTTTTAGCAAGTGAGTTGGTTGAGTCCTCAAGAATGTGCGGTAAAGACACATCCAGTGGTTTGGGATCTGGCTCAAGTGTCGTGTCTAGGTTGAGACCCTGCACGTCTGCTCCAAGTTCTGCGTGCCACCTGCACCCCAGTCAGGGCTTGGGGGGCTCCCAGCCACTGTCACAGTGGCCCCCAAAGCAACCACCTCAACAGTGCGTTTGACGTCATCTTTTGATGACAGACCGTGTGGCTGCTAAACGTGTGTTCTTTTGAGGGCAGGAGATCGCATCGGCCTCCAGGTGCTGCCCGTTTTGTTTATCGGAGAGTAAAGGGCAGCACTTGGATACGGGCCCTGTTGAAAGTGCCCATCAACAAGTGTCCAAGGAGAGATGTTCTCTCATTCCCATTTAGAGGAAAAGCTTTCTTTGTCACTGCCTTTTCCTGAGCACCTGCTGTGCCCTCGGCCATTTAACTCAATGTCACGCTCGGCTTTAGAGTGGCTGCTACTGCTGTCTTGGGTCCAGCTCTTTCCTGGCTCTAAGAGCCCTGATGTGAACAGTAAGGTCTCTCTGTTCCATGTCTGGAGGGAAGTAGATGGTTTATTTGGAAGATGAAGAGCCAACCCATATGTCTATATCCACATTTCAACCAGGGGCCCTTGGAATGTTCAGGCCCATGGTGGGAGCTGGGGAAGATCACTAGATCTAATGCCCCACTCTTCATGCTCCTGCTCTCAGGAAACTTGACGGCCTCAAACACTAACCACAGGCTGTGGCTTTGGCCATTTTTGTTTCAGGGATAGCTTTTAAAACACAAGCTCCATAGGACCAGAGTTGGGACACAGTGCGAGGTGCTGGTATGATATGCAAGATTTTTATTCCAAGTTGGGAAAGTCATACAATGCACCCACAATTTCCACTTTCAGCCTCAATAATAGGAAAAGTTTCATCCTAGACTTTCAATATGAAGTTGATTCACTCATTGAACCTCAAGCATGTATTTTTAAGAAATCAAAAAGGTGGAAGCAGGCTTCAACAGGCACAGCTAGCAAATGACTGCTCTCACCAGGGACCAGATGCCGCTTTAGAATCCCTCCCCACCTGACCAGGCTTCTGAGTCTTCTTTCCTAGAGGATACACGGGACCATGTGGGGTTTTCCTCTCCCTTTTGCCGGTTTCCTTAATAAATTCGTCTTCTGCTTGGAGTGGGGCCTGGTCTACGGGGCTTGAGGTGAGAGTTTACAGGGGAAACGGGGAATTCCTTTTAGGAACTAAAGCCGGCATCACTTGGGTTATGCTGGAAGACAGAAGGCGTATTAGCCCATTGGTCATGTTGGATGATGGACTGTAGAGCCCTGAAAATGGATATGGATGATGGCTTCTTACGACAGCCTTCTCCCCTGAGTGCTGCAGGTGCCTCTGCCAAAACAATTAGGCACGTGGTCCAGGTAAATCAAATATGAGAACTGGGTCAGGTGATGTCAGGATGTCTTCTGTTTTCAAGGCTGAAACACTTTCTAGGAGCTGGCGGAGGCTGGAATTCAAAGGAGCCATAGTTCTTTCAGCCCTTGAGGACTACACCTCTGACTGCTCATTCATTTATTTCAGGTCCTTACTTTAAACTGAGCTCCACATTTGTTCCGTAAGGTTTACCCCTCATCCCTGGGAAGAAGGTTGTTGCCTTTTTGGTTTTCATTCTATTAGCAGAGGCCTAGCCAGGGATCTTCAGTTCAGGACAAGCGTATGTATGTTCCATCTTTCCCACTCGTAAGACAAACATCCAGTAAAGTCTCAACAAACACAGCTGTCCCTCGTCCAGCACCTGTACCCAGGCAGGTGCTGCTTCCCTATCCCAGCTCAGATGCGCGACTAGGAGTTCTTGGATTTCCGCTCCTTTCTGGCCCTGGAGGCCATGAGGCTGAAGAAGAGCCCAGGAGCCAGAGTTCGCAGATAAATGGCCAAGGAAGGCAGGAGGTCGGCCAGGATCACATCTTTCTTTTTCTTCCCCACCGCAGCCAGAACATCTCGGGCCACCTCCACGGGGCTTCGGCCTTGGGCTGTGGTCTTGTCCATAACTAAAATAAAACCAAAGAAACACATGAACTTAGAAGCAGAAGTCTCTCTCCGCAGGACTTGAGCTGACATGAACCGATGTCGGCTGAATTTCCCATCATGGGGCCCTTGCCACAGTCTGTCAGGAGGCAAGGGGTTTGCCACCATCCCTGACTATTCCGTACTCCAAAGAAATGAGGAAGCCGTCAGCAGCTCAGTGTGTGTGAGGGGGGAGAGGGGACTGTGGGTGAGATGTGGAAACGAGGTAGATGGGTGACCTTGTAAGTGCTTACAACTGGTGGCTCACGACAAAGGCCAAAGGCCAGCCCAGATGGGGTCTCAAAGAGCAATCACACACACACCGATTCCCGACCTTGGGAACTGTTGTCTACCAGAATGCCCAACTGAGGGTGTTGCAGCACTGATTTGTCTGGGGTAGCTTGGCCTGAGGTCTGCCAGACGGGTGATAGGAGGAGACTGTGACCCCTCATGTGCACGACAAGCTGGCCAGACTGAGAGTGAGGTGGGTCAGGAAGAGATGTCCCAGTTCCCCACATCATGCGGTGACCGGATAAGGAACAGGAAGAAATCCTTGGTTTGTTTTCGGTGTCAGAGGCAGCTCAGGGAGGTTAGGAGGTGTTAGGCTGGTTGATGCCAACTGATGTTCCTTCTTTCCTAGTGATGTGACAATGTTGCCGACCAAGCAGAACCAGTTGGCAGCCAGAGAGGAGAGGCCACTAGCGCAGACCATTTGAAACTATTTGTAAGTTGCCCAAACCGCGTGAGCCACCTCACCGATATCTGTTCTCCTTGTGTTTTTGTTAACACAGAATTGATTTCTGATAGTTTCTGATTTTTAAAGGCCATAGAGGGAATTTTTTAAAAAAGATTCTTCTAGGGGCACCTGGGTGGCTCAGTGGGTTAAGCATCTGACTTTGCTTAGATCATGATCTCACGGTTCGTGAGTTTGAGCCCTGCATCAGGCTCTCTGCTGTCTGTCAGCTTGGAGCCCACTTAGGATCCTCTGTCTCTCTCTCCTCGACGTACCCCTGCTCATGCTCGACATGCCTTTTGTGCTCTCTCTCCAGGAATAAATAAATAAACTGGAAAAAAAAAAAAAAAGGAAAAAGGCTTTTACATTAAAAAGAAAAAAAACATTCCTCTAGGGGTTCCTGGGTGGCTCAGTTGGAAAAGATTCTTCTAGGGGCAACTTTGGCTCAGGTCATGATCTCGTAGTTCACAAGTTCAAGCGCTGGACTGGGCTCTGGGCTGTCAGTGTGGAGCCCACTTCCGATCCTCTGTCTCCCTCTCTCTCTGTCCCTCCCCTGCTTGCTCTCTCTCTCTCTCTCAAAAATAAACACTTAAAAAAAAGAGATTCTTCTAGGTATAAATAAGTATGAACCTCTCTAGCTCTATGCCTCTATATGGTTTCTGCTGACTTGCTGAGTGAGTGCCTATCCAGGGCATGTGCAGTTCAGGTCTGGCCGAGGTGGGGTGCAGGAACAGGAGGCCCCTGGTGAACACCATAGCATAGGCCTAAAAGATCACATCCAGGGAGGCAGGACATGGCAGGTCAGTAGTTAAGAGGTAGGCAGGCCCCACGCAAGTGGGGGAAAGCAACTCAGTTCCCAGGACAATAGCGTGCATGGGTCACCTGACCCGGGAGGCTGGCCTGAGCCTGCACGCTGGGGCCGGGCCATTCAGCCCACTAGTGGTGACTGCAGGTCAGCTCACCACATCTTTGGCTGAAGCAAGATGGGAGATCTGAGACCGGTACACCCAGCGTCACCCCAGAAGACTGTGCTCTTTCCGTTGAGTATCCCGAAATCAGTCATTTCTCAAGCACACTGAGTGGGGAATCTTTTGGAGCAAGCAACCCATACTTTCCATGCGATTAATCCACTTTAATTTTACTTTAATTCACTGAGGATGGGTGAGCGGAAAGTCTGGCAGCATTTCAGCTTGGCCCTCAAAGTCCTTTAAGGAGTGAGTCCTGGCCAACAGGGACCCTGTTCCAACAGCTGCAATGGTGATGCTCAGGCTAAGGATGGCTCGTGGTAAATAACCATTATTCAACAGTATATATAACCAACACCCGTACATCAAGTTTTTTAGTTTTAAAAATTATATCCCAGGGGCGCCTGGGTGGCTCCATCGGTTAAGCACCCGACTTTGGCTCAGGTCATGATCTTGCGGTTCCTGAGTTTGAGCCCCCCATCCTTCTGACAGCTCAGGGCCTGGAGCTTGCTTCAGATTCTGTGTCTCCCTCTCTCTGTCCCTACCCTGCTCACACTTTGTCTCTCTCTCTCTCTCTCAAAAATAAGTAAACATTTTAAAAAAATGTTTTTTTAAATTATATTCTGGGGGCACCCTGGGTGGTTCAGGAAGTTAAGTGCCCCACTCTTGGTTTAGGTTCAGGTCATGATCTCATGGTTCGTGGCATGGAGCCCCACGTTGGGCTCTGTGCTGACAGCATGGATTCTCTCTCTCTCTCCCTCTCTGCCCCTCCCCCACTCATTCTCTCTCTCTCTCTCTCTCTCTCTCTCTCTCTCTCTCTCTCTAATAAATAAACTTAAAAAAATTACATTCCAAATGAAAAAGAATCGAAGAATCATCAGGTGAGAGAAGCACATCTCACTATCGCCAGCCGACAGCTTTTCGTGGAAGAAAAGAGAAACTAGGGCCTCACCTCCGTATTTGGACCCATCAGCAGTGACAGCATTTACGGAGAGGTTGGTGTGGATGTAGCCAGGGCTGATGACAGTCACCTCGATCTCATACTGTTCCATCTCGGCACGAAGACAGTCAAAGAATGCCTGGGTTGCATGTTTGGAGGCCGCATCTGCAAAGGTTTGTGGCCAGAGATGCAGGTGAGGGAGAGGGCCCGAGACAGGCCCACATATTCGTTCCCATTCATTCGCTTTTACTTAAAAACTGATATTACAATTTAAGATTACAGTATTACAGCCGTGTTCCTTTCCTGACTTAGGGAAGTGCAGTGTATACCTGTTCTTAGGAAATACCCTGCTGTGTAGGAGTAAAGGAGCATCATATTCCTCACCCTCTTTCAAATGATTCAGGAAAAAAATTATAAATCATATATACACACATACATGCATATATACACACAACACATACAGGATATGATAAAGCAAATATGGTCAGATGTTAACAACTGGGGAATCTACATGAAGGCGACATGGGAGTTCCTTGTACTGTTCCTGCAACTTTTAAGTCTGAAATTATTCCAACATTAAGAGTTAAAACATATATATATATCACAACTTAATGTCTAATGAGTGAAACATTTAAGTGGGACAGAGGATGGAAGAGTCAAAGTCTTCTGTCTTCCAATTCCATTCTCCAGAGATAACCTATGCTAATGGTTTCTCAGCATTTACTTTTTAGATACTCTATGTACATATATGTGATTTTACACTTAATTTTTTTTTTAACAGAAGCGAGCTCTACTGTTTATATTATTCCTGCCAGTAGCTTTCTCCCCCTGGTGACACAGACCATATAGCCTCTGTGGCACCCGTGCAGGCCCACCATGCTCTCCATGGGCCACCAGACTTCAGGGGTTGGAACTTCCGGGCTTGTCTCCAAGTCTCGTCACTGAACAGAGCTGCCAGTGAGCATCCTTGCATGCACGGGAGTGTGTGTATAAAATCCATGCTTAGCTTTCTTATGTATTTTGTTTGATAAACTTCCATGAAGTGGCTTCATCTGAAAGAGCCATCGATCCTGCTCCACTTGGGAGAAGTCGAGCCACGGCAGCTTGTCGGCCACGGCTCCACAGTGTGGTGAAAGGTGCTCTGAGGGGGGACAACAGTGACCCGACAAGGACATTCTTGGGAAACACACAGCATCTCCACTGAAAATCAGTTTCCTCCAATTCAGAGTTCTAAGTAGCTTAGCCATAGGAAAGGGGCATCCATCAGCTGAAATGGCAGGAAGGGAAAAAGCAAGGAAGTGTCCCGGCAAGGCACGTGAGAGAGTCCAGTGTTGGCCCTCCCTGTGGCGCCTTTCTCAGGACAGCGCCTTTGGTGTGGGCCGAGCTGCTGGGGGCTGGACGAGGAGTTTGCGGGTAGGTGGGTGGAGAAAGCTGCCCTGTCAGCTGTGATCCCAGGGGTGCGGCCCAGGCCCAAGGACTGAGAAGAGTCACCCTGGGGGGGGTCCCCAAATAGAAGGCTGCACCCTGATGACTAGTCTCACAGAGTCCCAGGCCGTAGGTCCTCAGCCAGGCTGACTTACCACCATCACCACAGCTGTCACTAGTGAGCCTCTCCGACCTGCAGGGCACGGGGCTCGACAGGCCACCTGGATCATCCCACCAGCAGTGGGAAGCGGGTAAGGCCGCTCTCCCATTTTAAAGTCAATAAGACTGCTGCTCACCAGGGTTAGTTAACATGCCCAGGCACACCGCCACACTCAGTCTGCTCGTCATAAAGCACCCAGACCAACTCTGCGGGACCTACTGCAGCCACAGGCCAAGTGGAGAACAAAATTCAGGGAGATTAAGTCAAAGTAAAGTTTGAAAGTAATTTAGTACAAAGAATACTGTATATCCTTTACCCTGATTTATCTATTATTAACATTTCACCTTATTTGTTTTATCATTTGTGATTATATTTCTTCCTGAACCATTAGAGCTGTCTTAGAGAGCTGTCCTGTGCTGCCGGGAGTCAAAATGGAATGCTGGTGAGCAGGGAAATAACAACCCCAGAAACAACTATGGATGGAGAACCCCACAGTTCACAAAGGACTCTTGGTCTCCAGGTGTCTCCTCTCATCTTTAACACAGCCTTGTGAAGTGTGTGCGGTAACCGTCAGTCTCTTCACAAGCAAGGAGACAGAGGGTCAGGGACTTTAAGTTACTTGCCTAAGGATACGCGACTAGAACCACAAGGCAGAGCAGGGGTTCGTATCTGGAGAGAAAGAAGATGTCTTTGTCACAGCTCCGGTTCAGATAGCGTCCGGCCGGATGTCCGGTACGGTCCTTGCAAAGTGCTGACCCGGCTCTGCCCTCCCTCCCTTCGCTGCCCAGCGCGCAGCTGCGCCAGGCGGAGGCCCGCACTCGAAGGTGAGAACAGATGACGTCAGCACTGACTGCACAGGGCAGAGCAAAGGAAGGAGTTCCCCGGGCGGTCCGTGAAACCACCTTTGAAATCTTTCAGCAAAACAGAACCAGGCTCCATCTGCTTGCCAGTACAACGGGGCAGTAGACAGCGGAGTGAAATGATATCTCAGAACTCTGGCCCAGTCACTCGTACGTGGAGGTGAGTGTGCAGACTGGAAGTCAGTTTGGCAGGGTTAATTTCCCGGTCCTATTTAATATTTCCACTTTTGGGAGTTTATCTTACTGAAACCCTCCCACGAGTGCCCAGAGATGTTAAGTATTCAAGGAGGTTCTGGGTAGCATATCATCGGTACCGGTCAAGAACTGAGGGCACGTGATCCTCACGCGTCCAGGAAGATGGCTCAACAGCTCACGTCGTATCTACCTGAGGCATTACTACTGTATCGTCTGGTGGAATCAGCAAGCCACAAAACGGTATGTACAATGTGATTCCGTGTTTGTACGCTACCATGTTTGCTCACATGAGAAAAGTTTGGAGGCACGTGCCGCAAAGTGACCCAGCGGAAGTGCCCGTGAGGACGGTGCAGACCGACAATGAGATGGTGGCCGGCGTGCACAGCCCTCGGCCCGGCACCGCTCCGGTGCTTCTCCCCCAGCGCTCAGAGAGGAACTCAGTCTTCCCGGCGGTTCCTCTGGCCTGGGGACTGGCCCGGTCTCCCTTCTGCAGCTGCAGACTATGGCAAGGAGACTCGCACGAGGTCACGCGGGGGAGAGGGGGGTGGGTAAGGAGTGGAGCTGCGATCTGAAGCCTGGCCTGCTCAGAGCACATTCTGATCAATTCCCTCCCACACTCTGTATTGAGTATCTGCCCAGCGACACTAAATGTGTTATTTTTATAATCACGAGAAAACATTAGGGAAAAGTCTCTTTAGGGAGAGAGACTAGGAAGTACTCACATGCTGATCGGAAAGGAATGCTGATTTTGCCCTGGATGCTGCTGATTGCAACAATATGGCCTTGTCGCCTTTTGATCATGGAGGGCAGGAGTGCTGAAGAAAGAGAGCAGAGGCTTTAGGGCAGGACTTCTCTTCTGGTCACCACAGCTAACACTCACAGGAGGCGAGCTTGCTTATTGTATGTAGTCAGAGCCAGGGAGGTGAACAGGGAAGGCTTCTCAATGGGGAGCACCATGCTTCCTTGGGACTCTCAGGTCCCCTGTGCCCAGCAGACTGCCAACAGGAGGGAGGAGGCCAGTGGAGGACTGGGAAGGAAGCAAGGAGGGAGGCAGGCAGAAGCCTAATCACTAGGAACAGTCAGTCAGCTCAGTCACCTTTTCTAGGCAGAGCCTCTACCCTTGAGTGATACCCATGGCTGGACATAAAAATATCCCCACTTTGTATGGGTTTCCAAACACCATGAAGAGGAAATGGGGGGGGGTGGACAATGCTGTATAAATAAAGCTGTCACTGGGGAGAACATCTTGATTTAAGGCTATAAAGCAGATAAAGAAAATGCAAGTGAAAGCCTGGAGAAAACAAACACCCAAGCTCTAATGACAACACCCATTCCAGGGTAAAATAGATGGAGACGGGCAACATTTAGCTAAAAAGGAACCAAGTAAAGTAAAAAGAACGTCAACATAGCACTGCTCCTTTTTCTTTTACTTCAGGACTGTTACCTTTCGTTAGAGCAACTGGGCCAAAGTAGTTTGTCTCCATGACTTTCTTATCCACGTCTGGGGTAGTGTCCACAATGGCGCCTCGGTAGCTGATGCCAGCATTGTTGATGAGCACATCCACGTAGCCGAAGCACTGCAGGATCTCAGCTGTTGCTGCAACTATGGCCCCAGGGTCCGCAAGGTCAAAGGCCACCGTGTAAGGCTTGTGTGTCTGCACCTGGTCAAATATGACAGAAACCGAATGCATCTTCAGAGTGACAGGCACGTGAACCACATGTCCCTGCTTTTCAGAGGGTGGGGAGTATCCCGCTGGGCATGACATGCTCAGGCTCTAGCACCTGTCTTCCAAAGAAATGTGGCCTGAAGGATCTTGCCTATGGTGCTCACACGTGACCTGGGCAACCTGTCCCCTGAACTGAAAATGACTTCTAGAGCCAGACTCCCCTTGCTGCCCTGTGCCAGCATGGTGCTCTACGGTACCATTACATCTCAACAGAGGCTCTATTCTTCTCGGGTTAAGTCACTTTCATTCGTTCATGAAACATTTTTGTTGTTGTTGTTAATATATCTTCTATGTGCCGGGCACTGGGGACAGGGCAAAAAGCAAGACAAACATGGTTCCTGTCTTCTAGAAGCAAACTGTCTAGTGAGGAAGACAGACAGATTCTCTAATTGTAAAGAACGGGATGCCAGAGAAATGAAAAACTGAGCCGTCTAACTTACAGGACTTCCCAATGGAAGTGAGTTTAACAAGAGGCAGAAGGAGTGGGGGTATGAAATGAGAGAAGATGGCACAGTAGGAAGTTCTAGGAGTCTGTCTTTCCCCCTGGATGCTGTACTAGCAGAAACTCTCTGATATGACAATTTTGGAACTCTGTAGTCTATCTGATGCTTGCAGCTTCCAGGGCAGTGCTTGGCTGGCAAGTTATGGATAATCTGGGTCAATTCTAGCCATCAGCTTGGTGGTAGCTTTCCATTCCCCACCCCCATCCCTGTGGCAGGCCGCTGTAGGAAAGGCTACCCACATCTCTGGTGCAGCTTGAGGATGCCAAGGTAGGCAATGAGGACCTTCTCTCCAAAAATCAGGATTGCGTTCTGACGGTGGATTGCTGCTCTGATCACTGAGGCGCAGTATGGATGCAAGTTGCATTATTTTAACCACTACTAGCTAAAATAGTTTCCAATAGATTTAAAGGAGTTACACTTATTATTCTGATATTCAAAAATATAAATAAATCCCCAGAAAACACACCTGAGGAAGCCTAGACAATGGACTAGGTGACTGAGCCTAGACACAGATTTTAAAGCAAATGTCTTAAAAGATCCTCAAAGTGCTAAAGGTGACTGAGCCTAGACACAGATTTTAAAGCAAATGTCTTAAAAGATCCTCAAAGTGCTAAAGGAAGACATGGAAAAAGTCAGAAAATTGATGTATAAAAAAAATGAGAATATCACTAAAGAAACATAAATTATAAAAAAAATTCTGGAGCTCAAAAGTACAATGACAAAAATGGAAAATACCCTAGAAGTTCAAAAGCAGATTTGAGCACAGAGAAGAGAGAATCAGTGAAACTGAAGAGAGGACATCTGAAATCACTGACTCTGAGAATAAGAAAAAAAGAGTAAGGAAAAGGAAACAGGACCTAAGGGATCTGTGGGATGCCATCAAGTGGACCAATAAACACACTGTGTAAATCTGAGAAGGAGAAAAGAGAGAGAAAGGGGAAGATAGAGAATATTTGAAGAACAATTGCTGAGGGGCCTGGCAGAATGGCTCCCTCAAAGAAGGGTGGCAAGAAGGGCCGTTCTCTCATCAATGAGGTAGGGACCAGAGAACACATCATCAATATTCACAAGCACATGCATAGAGTGGGTTTCAAAAAGCCCCTTGGACACTCAAAGAGATCCAGAAATTTGCCATGAAGGAGATGGGAACTCCAGATGTGCACACTGACACCAGGCTCAACAAAGCTATCTGGGCCAAGGGAATAAGAAATGTTCCATACATGAGTAACCATGCGCAGTTGGTTGTTCAGAAAACATAATGAGGATGAAAATTCACCAAACAAGCTCTATATGTTGGTCACCTATGTATCTGTCACCACCTCCAATAATCCACAGACCGTTAATGTAGATGAGAACTAATTGCTGATTGTCAAATAAAGGTATAAAACTGGGGAAAAAAAGAATTGCTGAAAACTTTCTGAACTTCATGAAAGACATGAATCTACACATCAGAGAAGCTCAAGATTGAGTTAGATAAATTCAGAGGCCCACTTGAAACATTATAATCAAACTGGCAAAAGACAAAAACAGAATCCTGAAAACAGCAAGAGAGAACTACTTCTCACATAAAAGCAATTCTCAATACAATAATCAGCTGATTTCTAATCAGAAACGTTGGAGGCCAGAAGACAGTGGATTGATATATTAAAAGGGCTGAAAGAAAAAAACTGTCAACCAAGAATTCTGTACCTGGCACAACTATCCTTCAAAAAATGAGGGAGAAATTGAGATTCCCAGATGAACAAAAGCTGAGGGAGTTAGTTACCACTAGACCTGCTCTGCAAGAAATGCTAAAGGGAGTCCTTCAGGTTTGAAATAAAAGAAAGCTGAACAGTATAATCCAAAACTATATGAAGAAATCAAGATCTCCAGGAGAGTAAATGCAGGGGCAATTATGAAAGCTAGTATTATTGTAATTTTGGTTTGTAACTCCACTTTTTACTTTCTACATAATTTAAAACACAAATGTGTTTAAAAACTATTATTGAGAGAGGGAAGATGGCGGCGTAGGAGGACGCTGGGCTC